GGTCCAGAGGAGGGCCACAAAAATGCTCAGAGGGATGGAACACCTCTCCTGTGAGGACAGGCTGAGAGAGTTGGTGGTGTTCAGCCTGGAGAAGAGAAGGCTTTGAGGAGACCTTCTTGCAGCCTTTCAGTACTTAAAGGGGTCTTATAAGAAACATGGTGACAGAGTTTTTAGCAGGGTCTGTAGCAATAGGACAAGGGGTAATGGTTTTAAACTAAAAGAGGACAGATTTAGACTAGATATAAGGAAGACATTTTTCACATAAGGGTGGTGAGACACTGGCACAGGTTGCCCAGAGGGGTGGTAGATGCCCCAATCCTGGAAACATTCCAGGTCAGGTTGGACGGGGCTCTGAGCAACATGGTCTAGTTGAAACTGTCCCTGCTCATTGCAGGGGGGTTGGACTAGGTGATGTTTAAAGGTCCCTTCCAACCCAAAGATTCTATGATTTTATGATTCTATGGTTGCATGTGCTATTACTTATTCACAGTGATCTTCATAATTTTGCAGTACCTTCTCAAGAGTGGCGTACTGTGTGCTGAATTATGCTCTAACAGAATGATTTAGTAGGTGGGGCATGTCACAGGTACTGAGGTCTGGAGTGCTGTGCACTCATGATGATCATGGGCACAAAGCTGTTTGAGTTGTAAAATCAGCAGTCAGTGGACATGAAAGGACATAACTTTTTTGTTGTTGTCGTTAGTAAAGGAGTGAGAGTCTTTAAGAGAAGCTTGTTCTGTTATTCTTTTTACTTCATTGCCTGATTTCAGTTACATGTCCCTCAATCTGAGATAACTGCTTTCTCAGAATCTGGTTTTGTTTGTTTTTTCTGATTCAGCCTCTGCTGCAAATGCAATGAGCAGGGCCTTGCCAGATAAACAAGGCCACTGTGCTGTTCTAACCCAAACACTGTTCTTCCTTTTCCAGGCTTACAGTATGCACCATGTCCATGTGCATCTTCCTCACCTGGGATGAATTTTGTCCTTCCACAGATGGCCAGCACTGTATCAGTTAAGGCCAAATTATGACAGAGGTGCAATTTGGCTTCACATTGCCTCTGTGGTTTTTTTTTTTTTTTTTCTTTCTTTTCTTTTTTAAGCTGCCATTGCTAGAAAGACTTCCTTTGACTTTAACAAGGATTGGGTTGAGCATCTTAGTGCCTGGGCTGAAGAGGTATTGTATAATAGTCACAACTCTGCTAGCCCTTGTATGTTTGTTTTCTTTTTTCACCTCCTTACAGCCTCAGCACCTGAAATAGAAGTTCTGCTTGAGAATCTTAATTTCCGTTAAAATGAAAGTGAGCTTCTAACTCCTCACTTGTAAGAGAAGCATGGAAGACAGGGCATGAAAATATATGCTGAAATGGCCAAGAGAGTTAGCAAAGCATAACTGAAGAGAGGAAGTGTACAGAACTGCAGTGTTTGGGAACAAAAGACATATTTTTGGCTATTCATTCTTTGGGGGCGTCCTCATCAAAGGGCAGTGGCATACCTCTGCAGTCAGACCTCTCTGGTGGGTGCAGGGAGGAATAATCCAGTAACCTCTCACAAGATGATGCATGTTCCCTGATTTCCTCCCACTGCAATACCCACCCCACTGTCTGAAGTAACTCAGATTTGGTGGGGGCATTAGAAGGAGCATGTTTCTATGTCCAAATATGATACTTGGGTGGGTGGGATTTATTACAAGCTGAAAACAAGCTCTGTATGCAGCGGAGTGAAAGGAACTTAATGTGGGAGAGGTGATTGAGGGAAATTTTGAGGTACATCATGGGTTTAAATGCTGACTTGAGCTGTTGATAGGTACCATAGGCACCCTTGCAAAAGCTTAGAAGACAAATCAACCCACAGACCTCTTCTGCAAAGAATCTGAATGTTTTTAAAGGGTAAGGAATCGTAACTGAATTGAACAGCTCTTCCCCTCAATGGTGTAAAATGTGTAGTGGAGGTGATGGCATTGACATTGTTTTGCCCGTTGTATATTTTTTCCATCTGTCTCAAAGCTCTTGGTGAGATGTGGTTAATGGTTTTGCTTCAGAGCCAACAAAAAGAGATAACTGCTGTCCTTGTTTTAAATGAGTCTGTCTTGCTGTCTGTAGTAATAGGCCCTCTAATGGCGATACCAGCAATAGTCAGAGATTCTTAATTTCTCTGGGCAATTACCAGTATTCAGAAACCTAATTGTATATAGTAGAATTCAATATACTGACGATCAGTAGCTCTATGTTAAACCAGTCATAAACCAAAATCCTTAAGGCACTGTAAAGAAAACTTCACACACTGTGTAATTTGTTGGAGACAGCTAATTAATTGGTGATAGAGATCCTGGTACAATCTAGCTTGCATGTGCAAAACAGTCATAATTTTTCTAATCTCAATAAAGAGAGTGCAATGCTTTAATTACTGTGTAATCTCTTAAAAGCTAAATGTTCCCTTTGAAATCGATAAAATGGTAGCAGCCTGTAATTGCTCAAGTTGCCATTAAATATTTAAAGAATTGTCTGTGTCAACTGGAGTGTAAGTAAATGTAAAATCATACCATAGCAGAAATAATCTTCTTGTGGTTGATTAGGACAATCTTGGCCTTGCCAGAATTTTTGGAAACCATCGTGAAGCATTCCTTTCTTTGAAGAAATTTAGCACTTCATTCTGACTAAATTGAGGTTCCTTTTTATGTGAGTCTAATTCTGACTTCATTAATTAACCAGTTTTATGTGATAACACAGATTAATAATCTTTGTTCTTGAAGCAGAAGGAAGAGTTTTCTTCCCCACGCACTTTGGTATCTTAGGTTGATCACATTGTTAAGGCAATGCCATACACCCATATGGGCTCTAGAGGAAGGTACTGAATTCTAAGTTTTCCATGCTTTAAAAAACACACACCAGAAAACAAAAAAACCCAAAGCCCACCCCATTATCTTCCTCATATTGTACTAAAAATGAGAGTCCCTTGGTCAAAACCAGTGAGAAAGTCTATAAACTCTCTGCATGCTCAACTGTCTGAGAGGTTCATCACCCAAACTTACTTCTGTAAGGTTCATGATGAACAAGACTGCATCTATGAGACAAAACAGACAGAGGCTGTGGTGTTCTTTGCAGTATGGGGCAAGATAATGTCTGCTCACCTTTTGTGTCAGGGCTGTGGATGCTGTTCTAGAGCAGTGGTTGGAGAAAACATTAGGGAACAGAGGATCCACTGCTGAACATGTAGCCCAAACACTCCTCTGGCTTACTGGCAGTATTTGTCCAGTGGCTGTGCCCCTTGCAGGAGGTTAAACAGTGATGTCTACATTGCTGCAGGAGTGTACATCCCCTCACCCTTACTGGGCTTGTTGTACTCTCTAGGCATGTCTTTTTTCAGGCTTCTATGTGTAGGAGAAAGAAAGGATGCGCACATCAATGTAAGCCCTTTTTTTTTGACTGTGCGTTCCTTGACTTCAAAGTACAAGCTTTGTAGCCATGACTTGGTCTTTGATCTTTCCCTGAGGTTACAGGCATGCAGAAGGAGGAACATCAAAGTCAGGAATGGCTAGTTTTGTTAGCGAATGGGTATTTAATTGTTGCCCTCCTTTGTTCTACTAGGATGCATTCCAGGAAGAGTACTACCGAACAGGAACCTACCCAGCAGTCCCTATAGTACCAGCCCGACGACCATGGACGCTTTTGAACTGGCTTTTCTGGGCCTTATTGCTGCTATATCCTTTATTCAAGCTGCTCATCAACATGATCAACAGTGGGTCATCACTGACACTGGCTAGTTTTGCATTTGTCATTGTAATGGGTAAGTTTTCTACAACAGAAAGATTACTTACAGGGTAACTGTCAGACATGATTTACTGAGTCCTACTAAATATAAACTTGACGTGAATTCAACAGACATCTGATACTATATCCACTTTAGCCTGGAATAGGTTAAATAGATTCTTTTATTCTTTTTGTTTGTTTTTTTTTATGTAGTTGTATTATTTTTTGTAAGAGCTGCCTACAAAATCTTCCGTTTCTGTAGAAATTGAAACAGTAACTTTCTAGTGGGTTGCCTACAAGAGGCTTTCTTTTCTAGTGTAGTGTGTTGCCGGGTTGCACTTTGAATGCCTAGAAGAGGTGCTCAAGGTTAATTTATTCTATTGAGAATTCTTTCATCTAATCATAGTCTGGTATGTCATCCTCTGGAAATTCATGAACTTGTGAATTAAGGACAGCCTGTTGTGGCCATCTACTGTGACTTACATAGCACAGGGCACAGACTATCACAGGTGATTCCTGCAGTTCCTGTTGTAGTTCTGAACTGCCTTGGTTTGTGTTTAAACTAGTATGTGATTTAAGAGGAGGAAGGAAAACAAAACACGGAGCTGGTCCACAGAAAGGGAGGGAGATCTCATTTGGTGTCCTCATGGAAGCAGGAACCAGGTCAGTTTGGCAAATAACATCATATCTGGGTGTCTGCACTTTATGGCGTATTGAGTACCTGTTTGAAGAGTAAGTTCCCTTCCAGAATAAGCCACACACTTATAAAGCAAATGTTTTCTATGGCTGCACTGACCATCACATGTATTTATGGCTTCATCGCCTTAACACCTGTGTATATTACAAACATCCTTTGAAAAAGAAACAGAACTTCACAGTCCTTCTGGCTTTGAGTGAACTTGAATCCAGAGAGATTACAGTTAGCTTAAAAAGCCATGTCCAATATAGCAACATGGAGGAAATAGGAAAACATGGAGCGTTTCTTCTCTCAGATGTGCATCTTGACCCTCTAACTAGGAATTTGTTGCTAACATGTAATATTTCTTTGCATTCACAAAAAGTCTGAATCTTGAGCAGGTCCCATGCTAGTCTGATCAAGATGAGTTAATTAATCTCTTTTTGCCCATCTGTGAAGAGCTTGATGTGGTAGGCACACACTATTCTTTTTCAGAAAGTGTCCACCAAATCAAACTCTGTGTAAGCTAATGTGGAAGCTTCTTAGAAAGATAAGTGGAGAAGGAGGAATTTGTGTGTGTGTGTGCACGGAGGATATTTGCTTTATGATGCCTTCGGCCAGAGGAGGGAAAACAAGAACAAGGATAAGGTACAACATAATAGTTGGTATGTTAATGTGGGCAAGCTAGAGGGAAAGGGAGCAGAATCCTGTGCTCTTGTCCTCACCCGGAGAATTTGTTGGTGCTTTTTCCACTGGGAATGTTTTGTGTAAAATGTGGATGAATTTCTTGGAGCAGTGACTACAACTTAGAAGCACCCTTTATCAGCCCCATTACTTGTTGGAAGGCAGAAGTAGAGCTCCCCATGCCCCCCTTCTCTGACCAGTGAATAGGATGGGAGAGAAGCATGAGCACCATGGTTGGGGTGTGCTCCTCAGGAGTGGGAGGTGTTGGGTTCAAATCCCCTTCAGTTGCTGAGAAAGATCAGTTGGTCTCCCCTGTGCTCTAGTTCAAAGTGGGTATACAACAGTGGGTGTGATGAATGTTGCAAATGTTACGACCCTGGCAATAGCACTCAAGAGGGCATTTGTTCTGCCTTTGGAAGAAATGCTGGCATAGTCTATGTTTGGTACTGGGCTGTGGAACGATGGCCTAATGGGGCGCTGAAGCTCAGCCTCTGCAAAATTTTTTAATTTCTCACCTTCAGCATTTTCCTCTTAATTCAGCTTCTCCACTCTACAGGAGAAAGTGAACAACCAGTGGGCTGGTTATTCAGGTGCCATTATAAAGAGCCTCATGCCTTGTGTACCCTCCACAGGGAGCTTCACGGCATAACTCGGGGTTCTGGATTCTAACCTCAGGGCTGGATGCTTTAATGTTTGGCATTGTGGCATCTGTGATGTTTCTGGATTTAACCCTTAGTTGAGTGACACCACTCATCGCACACCTCACCACAAGTGCAATACCATCTTGCCGTCAATGGCCCTTACAACTAGGTCATGTCCTCTCTCTATCAGGAAGGGAGGGAAAGAACCTGTAAAGAAAAAAAGGCTATGATGCTACTAAGAGTGGGCAGCAAAAGAGCCCCCCTTTTTTTTTTTTCCTTTTTTTTCTTGTTGTCTTACTCCCCACTTAGCTTGCTTCTGCTTCTAGCCATAAGGAAAGATTAATAAGCAGGCTGCTGTGGGTCCTCTTTTGAATGCAGTGATAATCCAAATGTTCTGAGGTTATTTGTAACGCTGGAGCGAACAGAAAGCTACAGCCTGCTGCCAGAACGAACACATGAGCTCCCAGGCTGCAAAAGCACAGCTGAGGAACGCATTAAGAATGGTGAGATTAACGGCCCACCGCGACGCGCATTGCTGCCCCATTACATATCTGCCACATTTGTGGGATGCTGGAGGTTGCAGTCCTCTGTAACCTTTGGAAGACCCCTGTGCTTGGCAACACCTCTGTTCTCACTTTGAATACATGGTGTGATCAAACCCAAAGTGCGTGTAATTGGCTAGGGTTTGCAGTGCAGTGGAAGACACTGCGTTGCCTGTAGAAGTGGCTATCGCCTGGTCAGACTCAGCCAGGCACCTCTTGCTGATGAGCAGGCAAAAAGTTGATGTCGCTTATTAGCAGATAGCAGTCTCCATGAAACTGTGGAGGGAGGAGAATCTGTGGGAGTGGAAGAAAGCTCAGCCTTCAGTAAAAACAAACAAAAAGCAGAGCTGGTTTATCCTGGTCACTTGAAAGTGGATGTGTCGTTACTTGCCAAAAGAGCAATGGTTCCCTTAGAATGTCATAGTCTGTACTGTTTTACTATATCCCTTTAAAAGCAATGTTATTGCTAGTTGAGAATCATTGGTCTCTTTCCACAGAGGCATCGGAAAACTTAAGCCCAAGCTGTCACATTGACTTTTGTAGCCAGTAGCTGAGTTTCTGTAGCAAGGCCATTCTCCCCAGACTGTGTTTTATATCCTAAGGGGTGTCTCTGCCACGAATGCCCTGGGAGTCATGCAGCCATCTTCTGACAGAGGAACAACCAGTATTTTCTTTTGCAGTTCTGTCTCCAGCTTTAGGCAGGGTCTCAGAAACACCTTCCACAATGGCTGGGAAGTAGCCGTAGATGAACACAAATGTACCTTGGAGGCTGTGACTCTTGGTGCCAGCTGGAACTGTCTGCCTGGCGGGATCCAGTTTGTAGCAAAGCAGGGAGGACTGTATTCGTGCTCTTTTCTGGTGTAAGCAGTAATTTGTACCTGGTGGCTTAACAATGTAAAAGGAAGTTTTTCTGTAAATCAGAGGGATTTATTTACCATTGGGATCAGGTGGTAAAACCACCTTTTCGCAGTGCTCCTAAACGACCTTTTCCCACTGTTAGTTTACTGAAGCAGCACAGGTAGGGTTTGGGACATTATGGTTTTATATGACAATTTGACAGCTCACCTGATACTCCAGAATCAGGAAGCTTATTGCAGTCCGTCATAGCCCGTTATATGTAGATTGCTGTTTCTAAGGGCAGATTTCAGTACCTGATAGCATTACCTATGTTAGCACAGGTGCAGATAGCACAAGACGGCAGGAAAGGAGAGGTGGTGGGGTGGCTCCATATGTTAGGGAGTGTTCTGAGTGTAGAGAGCTCAACGATTGTGATGACCAAGTTGAGTGCTTATGGATAAGGATGAAGGGGGAAAGCAAACAAGGCAGATATCCTGCTGGGTGTCTGTTATAGACCCCCCAACCAGGACGGAGAGGCAGATGAAGCATTCTACAAGTGACTAGAAGAAGTCTCACAATCTCTAGCCCTTGTTCTTGTGGGGGACTTCAGCTTACACAGTTGAAGTATAACACAGCAGAGAAGAAACAGGCTAGGAGGTTCCTGGAGTGTATGGAAGATAACTTCGTGACACAGCTGGCAATTGAGCCTACCAGGGGAGGAGCCTCGCTTGACCCTCTGTTTACAAACAGAGAAGGACTGGTGGGAGATGTGGTGGTCAGAAGCTGTCTTGGGCTTAGTGACCATGACATGATAGAATTCTCAATTCTGAGTGAAGTAAGGAGAGGGGTCAGCAAAACTGCTACCATGGACTTCTGGAGGGCAGACTTCAGCCTGTTCAGGTCACTGGTTGAGGGAATCCCTTGGGAGACAGTCCTGAAGGACAAAGGGGTCCAGGAAGACTGGGCAGTCTTCAAGAGGGAAATCTTAAAGGTGCAGGAGCAGGAGGTCCCCATGTGCCACAAGACGAGCTGGCAGGGAAGATGACCGGCCTGACTGAACGGGGAGCTTTTGCTGGGACTCAGGAGGAAAAGGAGAGTTTATCACCTTTGGAAGAAGGGGCAGGCAACTCACAAAGAGTACAAGGATCTCGTTAGGTCATGCAGAGAGAAAATTAGAAAGGCAAAGCCCAGCTAGAACTCAATCTGGCCACAGTCGTAAGGGTAACAAAAACTATTTTTACAAAAATATTAACAAGAAAAACAGAGCCAAAGAGAATCTCCATCTTTTATTGGATGTGGGAGGGAATGTTGTCACCAAGGATGAGGAAAAGG